CACCTCCCTCACCACCTTCTCCTCCTCCACCGTGTCGAAGATGCGCTCCTATTTCCCCCCTCGTAATCTCTCGATACGTCGCCGTCGTCGTCGTCGTCCTTTTAATTCTCCGCGGCGGCCACCTTGCGTCGAGGTGCCTTCATTACATCGTGGAGAAGATGACCGTCAACGGTGATACGTGTACCGTACAATGCGCTCGCGCGAGATTGGTAACTCGAACATTAGGCCGTTAAGCCGCTCGGTGCCGGCTCGGTGCCGCGGACGGGCTTTTCAGAATCGCCGTCACTCCGTCATCTCGAAACCAGCACCTCGAACGTGCTGACCCCCGATAGATATCGGCAATTCCATTTTCGCTTTGGGATTGATAATCCACGTACATTCGCCGGGGCCTCGTCGTGGGCATAAATTTTCCACAAGTGGTACCGATAAGTCATTTCGAAACTGGTCCGCGATAAATCTCTTGCGAGCGGCCGGATAGATTACACAAAACTGATATTACTACTCGCGCCGTTTCGTTTTCGAATTTTATTCTCGCTGGACGTAAATGTGATAAGGGAGGTACGTCCTCGGGGGAAAAAGAAAAGAGCGGCTCGCGTTCCGTCGCGCCATCGATCGGCGAAACGCGCCGTCGAATTCTACTTCGGGGAGAGATACCCGGCCTTTGCTAATTACAACAATTTACGGCCTCTCAGCAATTATCGCCGTCGTGCACAGGCACCACGCACGACGCCGACGTCGCCGCCGTCGCACGTCTGCACCTGTTCGGCATACGTTTACGAAGAAGTTTAACGGTCCCGTTGATATCTGCGGCCATCAATTTCGGGCAAATACAATTTAATTAAGCCCCGCTATCGCGCCACGGCCGGCGAGTAATAATCGGCATCGTCGAATCCTAACGACCGCATCTGTCAATTCGCGAAGGGAAATGCTTAATTAGTCGCCGCGCGTAATGCCGAGGGTAACATTGCTAATAGCGCAAAAAAGCGGCGCGCCTCGATATTTTCACCGGTCCCAATTATCTTCTTCTCGTTGCACGCCGCGCGAGGTCGTATCCGAACAATCGAATCCGCGACCAGAGAGAGAGAGAGAGAAGCATTTCTTCTTTTTCTGCCTTCCATTTCCCGAGAGAGCGAAGGGGAGAGAAGGAGGAAAGCAAAATGAGACTCCCGAGAGGGAGAGCGAGAGAAAAAGAAAGAGAGAGAGAGAGAGAGTAATCGTCAGAAATACATTTTTATCTTCGCGACAGGGCGGAGCGCGGGGATCCCGTGATTTAAACGGCTCCCTTAACGCGTCTAATTGCACGAAACAGATTCATTATCGTGGAGTCGCGGCTCGGGAAGGCGGACAGTGTAGGTGCCCGCGTAAGATGCGCATGTACCTACCTACCTACCTACACGCCAGTCTCGGGCAGGGCAGCCCGAGAACGGGCAAATAACAAATAAAGCATAAACGGGAGCTACGATAAATAACTGGTGCACACAGCTCTCTGCATATAGTGCCGGCTGTGGGCCCTCCGGGGGCCAGCCTCGCTCTCTTTCCCCCCTTTCTCCCCCGGGCCTCTCATTCCGTCCGCGGAACGACCCACCGCCCCCACCTATATTACCTGCCGCCGGATCCACACACGTGCAACTACGAGAGGAGTTCAAGTCTCGGCGACCTCTACTTTTCGTTCATAGCGGCATAGCGATCGCACACGCGGCAAGTTGAGGAATCTCTCTCTCTCTCTCTCTCTCTGGATAGGATGTGAGGGG